AAAGTAAAACATTGACACGGACGACAGACGACGACGACGACGGAGGACAATCACTCGTATGATAAGCTCTACTCGACAAAGTCGACAGCGGAGCTAAAAAAAGCTCAGCAATGAGATGAAGTATTATTTTCTGAAAATTTAAGTAAATAGTTATATTCGGAACTAAATGTACAATAAATGCCTTTTTCTCAACTTCACCAGATTCTTAAAATGAGTTTTTTTTTTTTTTAAATTTGAGTTTATACAATATTCTATTACATAGTTTCCTTTTCCCTTTAGCAAAGGAACATCCAAATAATTTGTTGTTTAGAGAAGCATGTATTGACCACTGCCATTTGTTCAGAACACAAACTCTATGGCTAACATGGGTAATTCCTACGAGTACTATAAACTTGTAAACTCTATGGCAAACATGGGTAATTCCTACTAGAGCTATAAATTGGTAAACTCTATGGCTAACATGGGTAATTCCTACTAGAACTATAAATTGGTAAACTCTATGGCTAACATGGGTAATTCCTACTAGAACTATAAACTTGTAAACTCTATGGCAAACATGGGTAATTCCTACTAGAGCTATAAATTGGTAAACTCTATGGCTAACATGGGTAATTCCTACTAGAACTAAAAACTCATAAACTCTATGGCTAACATGGGTAATTCCTACTAGAACTATAAACTCATAAACTCTATGGCTAACATGGGTAATTCCTACTAGAACTATAAATTGGTAAACTCTATGGCTAACATGGGTAATTCCTACTAGTACTATAAACTCATAAACTCTATGGCAAACATGGGTAATTCCTACTAGTACAGTATAAATTGGTAAACTCTATGGCTAACATGGGTAATTCCTACTAGAACTATAAACTCGTAAACTCTATGGCAAACATGGGTGATTCTTACTAGTACTATAAACTCATAAACTCTATGGCTAACATGGGTAATTCCTACTAGAACTATAAACTCGTAAACTCTATGGCAAACATGGGTGATTCTTACTAGTACTATAAAATCATAAACTCTATGGCTAACATGGGTAATTCCTACTAGTACTATAAACTGGTAAACTCTATGGCTAACATGGGTGATTCCTACTAGAGCTATAAATTGGTAAACTCTATGGCAAACATGGGTAATTCCTACTAGAACTATAAATTGGTAAACTCTATG